ATCAAATACTCAATATTTGTGGATCAAATGTAATCTTTTAAGAATCAGCTACTGAAAAACCTAAACTGGATGGTCTTCATTTTTATGCTAGTTATGATCCTGACTATTCTGCTGAAGTTGACAAAGATTGGTAAATAGTACTATAAATAATATATGACCTCCTGTCTAAATTCAACCGATTCATTTCCTCTGCCTGACGTCTTGACCAAAGACATTTTGACCCATGTCCGAAAGCCTCCAGAGAAGGTCCACATTGAGTAATTCCTTTCACAGTCCATCATAAAAGCAGCTTTATCTGAGCTGGTGAGAGAAAGAGATTTACACAAACTGTAAAACAAAGCTGAGTCATGCTAAACATTTCAATATGGCTCTACCTTTCAAGCATGTCGCTAAATTTGGCAAAAATCATGTAACTGATTGCACTGAAATCCTCTTCGGTTTCATTCCGGCTGAACTGGAGGAATATAAGTTCTCGGTTCCTCACGTCAGTCGGCCCGCTGACCACTATGGCTCGCGTCTGCCACAGACATGTGACGTCAATAGATTATTAATAGCACCATTCCTTCAAAATAAATTTGAGGAAGATCTAAAACATACTTGCGTCTGGTTTGAATATGGCCCGTAGTAAATAACCTCCTCTTTTATACAGTTTCTTCCCTTTAGTCTGTCCAGTGCAACAAGAGGTGGAATGTTGTCGTGATAGTGATGCACGCAACTTAATAACTGTGCCTTCCCGGGATATAAAGCAATTCCTGTTTGCAAAAAAAAAAAAATGCTGAAAAATACTGTGCATACAGATACTGAGAGATACCATGAATGACTGTATTATAGCTTACCTGGTGCAGCAAACTCCTCAACCTCTTTGTATGAAACAGACATCACCGGATGGTTGAGCTTCTCCATGAAGTCTGAAATGGTTTGGTAGGCCAAGAACACAGCCACCGTAGTGAGCAGCAAGTAAATGAGGACGAGGATGACTGTGAAAACATTCTTCACACAAGCTTTGTTGAAACCAATGGTCATTAGATTGTTGTCCACAACGTTCTCATCTGCAATATTTAACGGAACTTTAGAGTTTTAGAGCAATGCCTTTATTAAAAGACACAATACATAAATGAAAATAATTTGCAAACAAATAAATACACACTGTATTGTCACAGAATGGGAAATTTGTCTCTGAAAATATCTGTTTATATCTATCTATCTTTGCAAATTTACTTTCTGAGACAGTAACAGTGTATTGTATTGTTTGCATTTATTTATTTATAATGCACTGTATTGTCCTAAAAGGTCAATTTAAATTAAAAACGAATTAATTAAAAAATGAAATAAAGGAATATACAAATAAATCAAACACAATGGCACCAACTAAACTATAGCATCAAAAAAAAAAAAAGTGATAAGAGCTTTATTTTGTGATTATTGTTCTGGAAGTTTCTTTTATTTCAGCAGCTTAATGCAAAGTGTATCATATGTTTCATGCGATATTATATATCATATATCATGTTTATGTATCATGCAATCATCTTCGGCAAATCAACTCCTGAAGTTAATGACATGAATAATGCATTATAAATCAATTATATTAAATATACAAATAAACTAACATATACATATACATATATATATATATAAATACATGCATTATACAAATACATGCATTATAAAAATAAATAAATAATCACCAATCATTCATGACATGAATAATGCATTATAAATCAATTATATTAAATATACAA